AAGTCACTTGCCTGGAGCCACAGAGCAGGTAAAGGCAGAGCTGAATTACCCCTGGGAAATGCCCATACTCTGTCTTAGAGAGGATGCTGGATACTGCTTTAGGGCAGAGTCCCAGACCTGTCACCCATCCCCTACTGGGGCCAGGCCTCGCTTCTGTTACTGCCAGTCATCTTGGGCCCTGGAGCCACCAGGCAGCCGTGCCACAGGCTTATCCTGACATTTGTCAGCACCGGATCTGAGAAGGGTTTAATTAACTTCCTTTCTCAATGGAGGATAATGAGTTTTAAATACCACGTGACTCCCTAAGGAGGTCAAATGGCAACAAGGATATCAAAATAAATTAAGTTAGGAACTGGGAGGCCACCGAGAGGGAGGTTCTAGTGCTCTGGCTCTGCCACCTGCCCGTCTGCCCAGGCTGTGTAGGCTGCTGTCCTGTTAGTCCTGACTCTTAACTGGCTCTGGGGAAGGAGTTCAGGCAGTCTTTGTCCCTGTCCTTGGCACCACAAAGGTCAGAAGACAGTAGAGAGAGAGAGAGAGAGAGAGAGAGAGAGAGAGAGAGAGAGACAGAGACAGAGAGAGACAGAGAGACAGAGACAGAGAGAGACTGAGAGACAAAGAGACAGAGACAGAGAGATAGAGAGAGACAGAGACAGAGAGACAGAGACAGAGAGATAGAGACAGAGAGACAGAGACAGAGAGACAGAGACAGAGAGAGATAGAGACAGAGAGACAGAGACAGAGAGACAGAGAGAGAGACAGAGAGATAGAGACAGAGAGACAGAGACAGAGAGACAGAGAGAGAGAGAGAGAGACAGAGGGAGAGCTGGCATAAGCCCTTCTGTCTCCCTCCTCTGTAGCTGGGGTCTCTAACAACCCATGCCCTCTGATAGTCAGGGACCCCTGGCTTCTGCCTAATGCTGTCTTGCTGTCTTCAGGTGTCTCGTTATCAGTCCAGATCCACCTCTTGGAGTTGCTTCTCATGTGAACTCTGTTTCCCCTCTGTGCAGGGGCGTGGGTAGAGATATGACATCTGTGTCTGAGCTTGAGGGCAGATCCTAGGACTTCTTCATGCCCACTGCTCCTCTCTTCAGGCCCACCGCTCCTCTCCACGCCCACCGCTCCTCTCTACGCCCACCGCTCCTCTCTTTCCTTGTCTCCCTCCTTCCCTCTCACGTTCTCCTTCCCTTTCTGCCTCCATCCCTCTCTCTTCCTTCTTTCCTTCCTTCCATCCACAAAAGGTGGTGGGCCAGGTTGAGGCCCTGAGATTAAGCAGTGAACCACAAACACTTCTTTACAGTGGCACAGGTTAGAGAAAGAAGACAACAGACAGAAATATGGGGGTGGGGTGGGGTGGGAGAGGAGCTCTGGGTGGTTAGGTGCACTGGTAAGTGTGGAGCGCAGGCGAGGTTAGGTGCAGAGGTAGGTGTACAGTTCTGAGAGACTAGAACAGGAGATGGATATGGACAGCACTGGAAGGTTCTATGCTGTGGCGCTGTGAGAGCTATGAAGGATGACTACGGTGGATGGGCATGGACCAGACTGGAGTATACGTGTCCCTTCTGGAAAGCCAAGAAGGGGTCACAACCTGGGGTCGCCATAGGTATGGCTTGGATGCTGCACTTCCCTCTAATGCCTGTCTTTTCCCATGGGGCAGTGTTGGAGGTGGTGAGAACTTTACTAACTGTGGTCCAGTGGAGGCCCTTTGGTCATGGGGGGGGGTGTGCTCAGGAGAATAGAGGGCCCCTAGTCCTTCTGGATTTCTCTCTGCTCCTCAATGGCAAGAGTCTTGTTCCTACACGCTCTGGCCATTGATGTGCCTGCCTGTTAGCCTTCAGAACTGGGTCAAAGCAGGTTCTTGCCCCAAACTTCAGGAACTGTGAGTTAACTGGGGCCTTTCTTTCTATCTCCATGGCCATTTGTTGTAGTGATACACAGTTGACCCATAGTAATACAACGTTGTATTTGTAGTGATACAAAGTTGTATTACATTTGTAGTAATACAAAGAAGTTGACCCATCCTCAGTACAGCTGTGGTTAGGGGATGCCGGTTAGATAAGGAGACAGGAATAGAGACAAGAGGATGGAAGAAGGGGAGATGGACACCTGGGGGGAGAGCAGGTACAGGCTGAGCAGACTACACCTCCCAGCCCTTTCATCCCAGGCCCTGCCATACTCTGGCCACGACATGCTTCTACCAACGGGAAATCAGCAAGGGTAATGACTTCAGAGGCTTTTAAAGCCCATGGGCAATGGGCTAGCCTGAGGCAAATGTCATTTAAGAAGCCTGCTTGGGCTTTCAGTCACCTCAGGTGACTGACTGCCTGCTGACTCAGTTGCTGGAGTGAGCCCAGGGGAAAGAGAAGCAGGACCTGCCCAGCCAGCACCCAGAACCAGCACCCACACTAAAACCTTGTGTCTACATCAGCTACTAGAGGTATGAGGGGGATGGGGTTCTTAGTACCGACTACAGGACCAGTCCAGGTAGAGACTGGAAATGGCTTCTCGGACACACAAAGCCATAGGCCACACTCTAGGCATGGGAACTCTTGGGCTACAAGTTGCCAAAGAACTCAGACCACAGCCAGCTCACAGCCAAGTGTGCAATGGTGTGCAGTGGCTCCTGTGGCTGCTTATGCTGGTGGATGAACTACTCTGTCTTCAAGCAGAACTGAAGAAAAACACAAGAAGTCCGGTAAGCCAGGTTGGAACGTATGACCACAGCCCATTGCCAGGGCCAGAAAAGGGCTCCAGGAGTGAAAGATGGCTTGGCGTTGGAAAACGTGTGGTTGTGAGGTCCTCTGGGCAGCCCTCGGGATAAATGTGAACAAGAGGCTGTGGGTGGCTGCCCCAGGGGCTCCGTCCTGCAGCTGTGCTCAGATAGGGTGGAGGGAGGTCAGCGCAGCTGTCCCAGGGAAGGAGAAGACACTTTGTCTGCAAGACTTGTGGTGAAGCTAGATACGGTCACCATTACCCGATAGGGCTGGGGTAAGGAGACTAGCGAGGGCTGGCTGGGTCTCAGAACCGTTCCTGGCCTGCGGCTGCGGTGCATCACCCTTTCTCTACCCTCCGTGGGGTTCATTGCTAGGCTCTGTCCTGTGTCCTGTTCCACACCATGGAGGGCTCCGTCCTAGCCTGCATGGGGATCATGGAAGTGCTGTGTGATTGTCACTCTGAGGCTTGCAGTGGGAGGCACAGAGCAGTGTGGGCCACACCAGCTGTGCCATCTGCTTTCTCCTAGAGGTGAATGATTATCATGAGGGCAAGCCTCGAGCTTCACAAACAGCATTTCCTTCCACCTTACAGCCTTTTGTGAGAGTTTACAGAGCCCATCTTACAGATCGGAAAATGGAAGCTGGGCTGTGAAATCCAACCATTCTTGCGAATGCCAGCCAGCCTTCCAACCTGGAGTTGGGGCCCAGAGTTAGAGCATATGTGTCATGTGTGATGCAACATATTCATTTAGGGCAGGGGGGGACAATCCAAACTCTGCCACCCTGGGTACCTCAACGCAGTGGCAGATTCATGTGCTCTCTTGCTGGGGCCCTAGAAGTGGTATTGAGATCTTGAGCAGTGGTGACCAAGGTGCTGTGTGCTCATTCACAGCTAAATCCTGGGCCTAGCTGAGCTGCTCCTGTCTCTTCTCCCTGCCTAGGTGGGGTTGGAGGCCAGAGGCCTTGAGCTTCCACCCTCAAGGCCATGCCAGTGGCCAGGGTGGCAGACAGTGTTCTGTGGGAAAGGGGCCCATGACCTTGGGTTCCCTGCAGACTGGGAGGGGGACAGTGTGTGTTTCATTGTGTCTGCTCAGCTAAGACATTCCGGGGACCGAGGACTGTGGCCTTAGGCAGGCACTGGGTCCCTTACGTAACCTGCTGGAACCTAGATGAATCTGTGTGATGTAACTGGGTCTGCTCTGCATGGCCCAAATATACTGTGGACAAGTATGCTCCCTGTGGCCTCCAGAGCCTCATGTGCCAATGCCTCATGGGGCCATCTCAAGGAATCCAACCATGGGCACTCAACACTACAGAGACACAGGGCCTTCCCCATCTCCCGGGCAACCTCTGTTCCACTGAAGGTACCTCTTTGAATAATCTTTTCTTTGTTTTTAAATTTATTATTATGAGAGTGCATGGTGTGTGTGTGTGTGTGTGTGTGTGTGTGTGTGTGTGTAGGTTAGAGGACAACTTTCTGGAGTCATGTCTCTCCTACCTTGACATGGATTCAGGAGTTCAAACTCAGGTTACCAGGCTTGCACAGAAAGCACCTTTACTCTCTGAGCTATCTCACCAGCCTAATCCTCTCCTTTCAATTCTTCCCACGCTGGGCACAGATTCCGAGGGCCAGGGGCACAGATTCCGCAAGATGCTGCAGCAAGTCTGGGGATAGCAGCATCCGAAGCAGCTGTTTCCAGGGGTTGCCAGCCTTAGTTCTCCAAGGAGGCCGGCACATGAGGACCCACAGAAGTGCCAAGAGTGGCTGTCCGCGCTGCCGGTGGCTTTCCTGTACCTCCGTCTTGCTGTCCTGCCACCAGCCGAAACTCAAGACTTCTGCTTGCTCCTTGTCCTCTATCTGGTCATGGGCACCATCATCTCGCCCCTCTCCCCAGGCAGGTTTGAGGGCCTGTAGTGTATGCTGTGGAACCCTGCAGCCTTTCCTGTAAGTACACCGTCCTCCCTATCTACTCCCCTGTTGAGGCAGCTCCCTAGGGGAGCTGGCAACCAGGAGAGGCCTCAGAACCTCAGGGAGAGGTGGCCCTGCCGGAAGACAAGATTCATGTGACAGTGGCTAGGGCTGTCCCTAGGGCTGGTTCTCTGCAGCCCCCTTCTGTGTAGTTAATTGTTCCCTGGCTCCCATTTCAATATATTCTTCAGGGAAGCCTGCCCAGGGCTCCCAGGTCAGACTTCTAGATGCACCCCAAATCACTCAGCTGGGTATTTGCTAGGCAGTAGGCATCCAGACCTGTCTTGGTGGCTGTGCAGGCGTGCTTTTATCAGAGTACCTGCACGTGTGTATGCATTCATGTGGGCCTTGTGCGTGTGCCTGTTGGTGCAGATAGGGCGTCCAATGCATCTGTGATTGGACGTCCCCAGCTCTGTCTACAGCAGTTTGAGGTTCAGCAAGTGCCTCAGGGCTTCATCTGCCCTGCACGGGTGGTGGGAGGCTAGGCTCCTTGGCTGGGTGAATGCTGCCACCTGGTGGCTAGGACAGGGCTGTGCCCACTGAGTGTCTTCTGGTCAGAGGACAGCCTGAGGGCCATAGGAGTAGCAGTGTGTGGACAAGGCTGGGCTTGCTCATGCCAGGCCCTCAACACAGCCTAGCTGGCCCTGGGATGTCTCCCTCAAAGTGAGCTCTCAAGGGTGTGTGAGAACTCAGGGTGCCGCGTCTCCATGGCGTCTGACCAGAACCTCCACCCAGGTGATAGGGTTGCTACTGGCCAGTTGCCACCCGAGCTCTGCTGAGATGAAAGGATGGGGCAGGACAGTGGGTCTGGATGGCCTCTTGGGTCTTCACCCTGAAGCCTAACAGACCCTTTCTGATACCCAGACCAGAGAGGCTACTCCCCTGACCATCCTAGCCCTAAATGTCACTAGGGTTTGGTGTGGTCCAGAGACCTTCCCTGGCCCTTCTTTGTCCTAGTCATACCACCTCACCCCCTTTAGGGTGATACCACCCTCAAATCCAGCTTTAGAAGATTCCTGTTCCCTGTAAGTCTCTCTTGTCCTGCTTCGAGTGTCCTCACAACCCCAGCATGGTTCACAGCAAATAGTGATGCTGGGGAGTGACTGTTGAAGGAAACACCTTCTGGGACACATCTGGGCGCAAGAGGAGAGATGTCACATAGACAGGAGGTTTCTGCGAAAATAGTGGGAATATATTTGAAAAGACGAGTTAGCTCTGACTTTTACAGTACGACCTCAGAGGCCCCCTGCCCACATCTTCATACACTTGAAAGAGGCGTTCTGAAAGACCCAGCACCTTTTAGGGAGGCCCGATTTGGTCTTGTTTGAAATGTCAAAATAAAATCTTTTGACACTCACATTGCACCCAAGCTAAAATCTACACATCAAAAGTCAGGAGTCTCTGAGACTCCCAGAGAGTGGGAAGTCTCTACCGCCCACTGCCCATTTTGACACATAGGAGGTGTGCAGTTAGCAGGTTCATACCAATGCATGTACCACGCCCAGCCCTGAGGGTCCTTTTGCTGCTGGGACCCTGGGACTGGAGCTCAGCTGGGGAGACGGGTGAGGCCACCTCAAACCCTGGGCTGCAGCCTCCTCGACCAGGTCTCCCCACCCTAACCATCCCTTGGTTCAGATAAAAACCAGGGAGCCCGTATTCACATTATAGCATGGGAATAGCACCAGAACCTTTGGGGCAGGCTTGCTGAGACCTAGAGACAGAGCCCTTATGGGGAGGAAGGCACCAGGAAGGGGCCACAGGCCTGGGGGAATCACTGGGTGCTGGCTGAGAAATGGCTTTCTCCACACTCTCTGTGGTAATCAGGTCTCTGGGGATAAGGTGCTAGAAACAAGGCAGAGCAGTTAAAGGCCAGCATAACCTGTGGTCGGTGGGGAGGGCCCTGTTATACCCCCAGGGACTAGGTGGCTCAGAGATGGCCCAAGTAGAGAGCATTGCCCTCTCCCACCTGACCTCTAAGGCCACTTTGGAATTTCAGCAACAGCAGCAAGACAGGGCAGCTGCCACTCTCTGGCTGTTCACCTTACTGTGCTTCCCTGCTAGGAGATAGGGGACCCTGTGCACATCTTTTACAATGTAAGGTACCAGGCCAACAGGGTGGTGGTGGTGGAATGTGAGCTGCTTTCTTCAAGTACTTGGAACTAAGAAAACAGCTACGTGGTTTCAGAGGGGTTGTGGCTGCTCCTTCCCTCAACCACATCCTTCCAGCAAAAAGCCCTGCGCCCAGCAGCACACTCTCAGCCCTTGGGTCTGTCTGAGCATTTGTGAGAAGTCGGGTGCAGGGAAATAGACAAGTGGTCTCAAACTGAGCTGTCTCATACACTGAAGGTGTATGCCAGCCAGGAGTCATCTGTTGGGCTCCCAGATACCCTCTCCTGTGGGTCATTGAGAAGTGTCTTTCTTCAGAGGGATTTTGAAACTGGTCAGTTTCTGTCCAAAGAGCTGGCTGAGGAGGTCGTTCTGGGCCTCCACAGTCCGGTGGTCTCGGGGCTCCATGGGCTCAGCTCCATGGACAGCTCTGCCCCTCTTGTAGGGCCTGAGCAGGGGTCTTGCCTGGGGGAAGGAGCCCTTCTCAGGAGTGTGGCTGGGGTCCCCTTTCCGCTGTGCTGCAGGCTGTGGCCTCGTCCTGCTGCTCTGGCCGCTGGGTCTGGGCTTGGCAGGGGGAACTCGGCTGGGAGTGGCTTGTTTTCGGGGGGCCCGGGAGGGCTTGTGGGGGCCTGAGGGGGCTCTTCCCGTGTCCCCTGTGCTTTCATGCATGACCAGCCTCGGGGCCAGGCCCCTCTTCCTCTTTTCATTGTCCTCTCTTTTATCCCTGGGATCCACATGCACTTGGGTCTCCTGGTCATCAGTTCCTCTGGGCCCCCTGGTGCTGCCTTTGGCTCGAGGTGGGAGCTGGTTAGGGGTGGGGCTCTGCCAGCCAAGATAGCTGGGCTCGGCTGGGGTGGTAGCCATCTCGCTTTGGAGCTGCCCACTGGTTGGCTGGGGCTGGCTGCCTCCCCATGTCTGAGTACCATGCTGTGACCCCCCACTGCCCTGGGAGCTGGGCCTTGGTTTAGCTTTGGGAGTGCTGGGTTTTACCCTGTCCTCAGGGCTACGGGCCAACTCTCCGCAAGCTGGGCTTCCCACCTCTGTGGGCTTCCTTGGTGGGACAGGGAGCTTGGGTGCTTTGCCAGGGGTGGGCACTGCTGACCTGTGCTTTGATGAACTCCAGCAGGCTCCTGACTTGGTGGCACTGCTCTTCTGGGAGGGACCTCCCATTTTCCCTTCAGGTACCATGCGGTGTGTGGACATTGGTCTCTCCTTCTGGGGCAGGGAGGGCTCTCTGGTGGAACAGCCAGGGGCACACTTGCCTCGGCTACCTGGGCTCCTGAGTTTCCCGGAGAACAGGTGAGGGACCTTCTTTTCTTCCGGGGGAGTTTGATGCTTACATGGCTCAGGGCTGCCTGATAAGGCCTTGTTCTCTGGCCTCTCCAGGGCTCTGTCCAGCTCGCAGCCACCTGCACCTTCAGCTGAGGCAGCTGGGAAAGGAGACAGAGACGGGGGAGAAAGGTCCTGACTGTTCAACGGTGGGTCGTCCCCCCTGTGTGGGTGGCCTGCCTGGTCCACAGGCCTCTCTTGGGAACTGGATTGGTCCTGGGTGGGGCTGGGAGTTGCCTCTGGACAGAGCAAGGGCAGGGTAGGGAGGGAACCCTCACTTGGGGTGGGGCTGCCCATGGATGGAGCTCTGTCCATGTTTGAGGGACAGCTGGGCACTACCACTCTGGGCCGCTTGCTGGGCAGCACATCCTCGGGGACCGGGGTCTTCCTCCTGGGAAGCCCTGGACGTCTCACACTGCGGAGTGCAAAAGGCTGCTGGCCACTCCTCAGATGCTTATCCATGTGTCTGTCGAACTGTTCCTTCTTGGCAAAGGTGTAGTTGCAGGAACTGCACACAAAGGACCTCCTGATGACATGCATGACGTTGGCGCAGAGCTCGCAGGTATAGAGGGGCGTGTGCGGCACCTCCCTCTCCTCCTTCACCTCATGGGCCACGCCCAGGTGCACCTGCAGCTCCCAGTGCTCAGGGTAGACCCGCGGGCACCGGGGACACAGGTAGACGCGCTGCGGGCTGTGTACCGCCAGGTGGCGCTGCAGCTTGAAGGGCTTGGGGAATTGCTTCCCGCAGTGGTGGCAGTCCCGGGAGGGGTCCTTGCAGTCCTCATGCACTGGGACAGCCTGGAGCAGGGACTCACTGTGGGGCCAAGGGTCTGGGGACGGGGTGGGGGACGTCTTGACTGAGCCGGAGCAGGTGACAGAGCCGCTGGTCAGAGTGGACAGGCTGCCTCCCTTGGTGGACCCACCGGGAGGCTCGAAGGCGCCATCTCGGCTGGAGGTGGCTGAGACACGCACCTTGGGCTTCACCCTCCCCTTTGAGATTTCCTTCCCAGCTTCTTTCTCTCGTTCCGATGTTACTTCGCTCCCCTTAGCCTTGCCAACTGAGCACCTGCCCCTCTGGGGTTTGGATGCTTGCTCCACAATGTTGTTCAGGAAATGGGTGAGGGTGTTGTCTCCCTCCAAGCACCCAGGCAGGTCCTCCAAGGTCCGCCGCGCCTGCCCGTTGCGGGCAAAGCGGGCGGCGTGTTCCCGCAGGTGCTGGTTGTACATCCAGATGTCTGCCACCTCCTTGAGGCACATGCCGCAGGCCCACGGTCCTGCTCTGCCCTGCACGTGCCTTTCCCACAGGTGCTCCCGCAGCAGCTCCCGCGAGCCAAACCTGCGCTCCACACACATGTAGCAGGTGGGAGGCGGTGAGGGGCTATGTGCCAGCTTGTGTAGGTCCAGCTCGCCCAGTCCGTGGAAGAGCTGGAAACACACCCTGCACTTGTAGGAGGCCCTCCTGCCCTTCTTGGGCCCATCTCTGCCTTTGGCCCGTCCTGCCCGGGCAGTTTCCTCTGTTCTTTTGCTCTGTGGCCCCTGTGAGTTGACTGTGGCCTTGAAATCCAAGATGCTGGGGCTGGGGAAGCTGGTAGGGTCATCACAGGGTCCCAGAAGGCACAGGTCTTGCATCTCCAGCTGGGTGCTGAGCACCTCAAAATCTTTGACATGAAGTGGGGGCAGGTTGATGTTTCTGGGAAACCCACCCTCATCACGCTCTCTTTCCAGGTTGGGGGGCTCCGGGCTCATGTCTCCGAGGGAAGAGGATGTCTCGCAGGTGGGAGCACACAGCTCCAGGCCTCGCCAGGCTGCCGGGACCATGTGAAGCTGGGGGATGGCCTCCGACCACTCATCTGGGCCCTCGGTGCAGCAGGAGAGCTCCTCCTCTGCACAGCTGGCCTCTGTGCTGGGCTCCAGGGCCCATAGACTGAGGCTGGGAGTCCAGGGATCAAGGCCAGGTGCCTTGCTGCTCAGGAGCCCATCCAGGAGGAAGGACTCTGGCAGACCCATGGCCTCGTCGTCCCATAGGTCTTCTTCCTCACGAGACAGGCAGAGAGAGCCTGAGTCACTGAGATCTGTGGGCAGGCGGGTGGAGAAGAGGGAGGCACTGTCTGTCGCCTCGATGCTGGGCTCTGTTGGCGGCGGGCACTTTGGCCCTTTGCAGCGCTTCCCGTAGACACGTTGGTTCTTCTTCTGAGCCAGGCGGCCTCCCAGGGGGAAGAGCTGGGAAAAGGAGAGCTCATCATCAAACAAGCCTGGAGGGTCCCTTTGACCAGGACTGGGGGCTTCGGGAGTGGTTTCCTTGGACCCCTGGTCTCCACCCTTGGTTTCTGGGTCATTCATGGGGTCCTTGGGGCAGGTGCTGATGGTGCTGCCCACTTCAGAACTGGGTGTGTTGTTGGGAGAGTCAGGTGTCCCCTCCCCAGTGCCTTCATCCGACCTGCCCTGGGCCCCTCTGCTGTGCTCTGCAGGCTGGCTCTCTGCATCCCATGATGTTTCTTTGCCAATGTCCAGTGCCCTGGTCTCTCCTGGTTCCCTGAACCACCATTCCAAGGCTGTCTTCTTTTCCACTGGCTGCTCCCTCTCTATCCTCCCTCGATGGACCCTCCACTCTTGGGGTGCCTTCTGTGTTGGTGTCTCCTCTGTATACAAAGTCTCTGGGGCCATGTCTACTGTACCCTCCAGGCTCCCAGGCCCTCCAGGCGGCTCCACATCAGCCCTATGTTCTCCCTCAGTCGAGAGGCTCAGAGGGGTGGCAGGATGGCCAAGTGCAGTTGATAGATCTGAGGGGTGCCTGTCTGAAGTCATACCGGCAGGGTTTTCAGGACTGTGCTTCTGCCTCCTCAGCCTGGGCTTTCCTGCTTTCCTATTGGGTTTCCTCTCTGAGCGGCTGGGGGAATCCACAGGCCCTCCACCTCCCCTTTGGACTCTAGTCTCTGTCTGGCTAGGATGGAGCTGATCTGAGTGCAGCTGGTCTGGTCTCTCTGACTTTGAGGCTGTGACCCTTGCACCCTTTCCTTGCTTGATAAGGCCTGGGGTGTGTGGTTGCTGGTTGAGGGGAGCATCTGGTATCCCGGCTTCCCCAGATTCCCTCCTAGTTGCCTTCTCAGGACCCAGGGTGTCCTCAGGTGCTGTGGAGCCCTGGATGGGAGGTGGCCTAGAAGCACGGCTGGGGCCCAGGGGTGAGGGACTTGGTCTTTCCTTCCCAGGGGTTTGGGCTGTGGACTCTGGAGGCTGGTGAGCTGGCAGGGCCATGGGGTTCAGCTGGGAGCTCGCCTCCCCATGCCGCCGGTGCTTCCTGGCTTTGTGCAGGTTCAGGCCAGCTCTGGAGCGAAAGGAGGCTGAGCAGAGCTCGCAGGTCACAGGGGGCCCTGCTGGAGGCTTCTCTGTGGGCTCCAGCTTCTTACAGGGTCTTCGTTTGGGGTCTTGGAGACCAAGGGGGTCCTTCTGAGGAGGATGGTAGGGGACACCGACGTGGATTTGAGGGGAATCAGACCTGAAATCACTGGCTGTGCAGCTCCAAGAGGCTGTTTGGGCCAACTGGAGCCCTGTGGGTATGCCTCTGGCACCAGCTCTGGGTACCTTTGTCACGTCAGAGTGCCTTGCCCCTGGTGTCCCCGGGTTTCTCTGTCCCTCGCTGTTGGCTCCTGTCTCACCGTCTAGGCAGGTGTGAGAGTCTGGCTCTGGGGCCTCCAGCATGGCAGGGTCTGTGGACATAGCCATGATGCTGTGGCCTTTCCTGTGGCTAGGGCAAGGAATCTTCCTCTGGGGCCCTGAGGAGGAGTCCTTGGAGGATATCTTCTCTGGGCTGTTGGGGGATAGGGCCTCCATGGAGTCGGGGTTTGTTACTCCAAGTTCCCTGCTTGAATCTAGGCCATCTTTAGTGGGAATGCTGGATATGGGGGCAACTTCGCTGGTCATTCTTGGGAAGCTGGGGCCCCCTGGGGGAGGAGCAGTGGCACAGGCAGGAGATTTCCTTGGCGCCTCTTTTCCAGAATCTTCTAGTGTTCTTATTGTGCTGCCTCTGGGGCCATCTTTGCCATGTCGTGAAGGGGATGAGACAGTGATGGGGCCAGACGGGCTTGACGGGGGGTCTTTGGGATTGCTGGGATAAGATAGAGTTTCTTTGGGACCACAGTGGCTTGTTACCAAAGATGGAGGGGCTGCTAGGAGCCTTTCTGACCCAGCATCTTTGGGGACTTGGACATGGCTGGCCCTTCCCAGAAGTACCGAGGCAGGACAGGTTGGCTGATGCTGGGGGCTGGATGGGTCACTACAGGAGAGAGGTGCTGGTAGGCCCCTAGGGTCTTCCCGTGGTGGAGGCTCAAGGCCACATGAAGTAGGTGTGGCCAGGGAGATGGGTGAAGGGACATGAGTGGCCAGGCCTCTGTTGGTAGGAGCTGGGCTCTCCCTGTTGACCAGCAGTTGTGGGACCTGGTGTAGGCTGGTGGCTTTCTCTGGGCTTCTCTCTGTAGGACCCATTTGGAGCTGGGCTGCTGTTAGGGTGGAAACTAAGGAGGCACCATCAGGGCGGGTGGGGCTTATGGAGGGCCGAATCTGTGCCCGAAGGCCCCTGACTGCTCTGCTCCCCTGATACGCCCTTCTGGCCCTGGCTGGCCTGGCTTCTGGATGGGAACGGACCTTGGTGAGCATGTCTGGGCCCCCCAGGCTCTTCCTGTTATTTGACTGAAGCCAGCTGGCTTGGCCTTGGCCCTTAGTTTTCTTAGCTTGGCTCGGTGAGCCCAGATGCCCATCTGCCTTGGGCCTCAGCTGATGTCCGGTGTCTGTAGGAACAGTTGACATTTTCACTGCTCCTGAAGGGCCTCCTTTCATACCAGCCCCTCCTGTCACTGAGGGGTCCCCTGGCCGAGGGCTCTGAGCATGGTTAGGTAGTAGCTCCTGCTGGCCCTGGGCCTCGTCTTCACTCTTTGCTCCAGCACCCAGGACCTGAAGTGGAGGACAGGAGTGGCAAGCTGGGTCCTGGGGCTTCTGTCCAAGGTGGTCACTGGGTACCCAGGCAGGACCCAGCATGGGATGGGACCAAGCTCTGCCACCCTGAAGGGTGGGTAATGAAAAGGTCCCTGCAGATGCAGACTCACCCTCAAAGCCAAGCCCCTCTGCAATTGGGTGGGTGAGCACAGCCCCCATGGAGCCCTCTGCTTGGCCCTCAAGGTGTTCTTGGGAGACATGTCTGGGCCTGGCACCTGGCGGTGAGACGGCTCCCTTGTCACCCTGAAGCACCAAGTTGGGTGCCAAGGCCAGATGGGTGCTGGGGCTGCCAAGTGCTTCCAGTGCAGAGGAACTTGGGCAGGGCCTCTGGGTCTCATGGGAGTCCAGGGAACGCCCCCTCAAATGTTCACACGGACGCAGCAGTGGAGCGCCCTCCTTCTGGGTCCCAGAAGCCTCATTATTTTTAGGAAATACAAGTTTGCGGTTTGGGCTACATTTGGCTAAACTCCCAGCATGTAGCAGGGGTCCCTGTTGCTTGGTGGTGACAGGCAGGTGGTCACCTAGGGGGATCTCAGGGTCCACATTGGAGGCGCTGGCTTCCTGCACTGCCGGAAAACTGAGTCTGAAACCTGTAGGGCTGAAAGCAGCCTCAGAGCTGGGGTCTTCAAGCTGGGTGCCTGGGGGAGGGGCTGCTTCTCCTGTATGGCGGGAGGCTAGGCAGGGCCACTGTCCATGAGAGCTCCTGAGGGCCCCTTCCTGCTGTGGACCTGAAAGGCTGGCTGTTGAGAGGGTACCCCCATGGGGCGAGACGGACTGAGGTTTGGGCAGTAAGGAGGCTGACTCTGGGCCTGGGTCCATCCTGCTTACTCCTGTGGCTCTGTCAGCCTCTCCGGGAGGTCCCCGTGTGCTCCCTCTCCTTTGCAGCTGGCTTTCTAATTCACTCACCAATCTTTTGATCTCTAGCTCATCCTCGCACAGATTGCTCATGAAGGTGACGCTACATTCATTGCCCTTTTCGGGCACAGGGGGAGGGCTGGGGGACACTCTAGCTTCAAAGGGACTCTTCTTACTAGATGCTGAATGTTCAGTGCCTACTGAATGCTGAATATCTCCAGCATCCTTGGAGAGGCCAGGAAATGGACCAGGGAGCACGGGAGAAACTTCCTCCAGCAGCAGGAAGGAGCGGTACAGAGGATCTGCCTGGGGTTTCTTTGGGAGAGGATCAGTACACACCAGTGGTACTTGAGTGCCCCTGTTCGCAGACAGGCTGTTGTAGAGTTGTGGGTCAAATCCATCATTGGGCAGCTCTGAAAACAGGGATGTGGACTCTAAGGCCAGTGGCAAATGTGCCTTGCTTGGGTCTGTTTCAGTCGGGTAGGGTGGATTCTTTGGTTGTCTTGACTTGAGGGTCTCTACACAATCCTGAACAAAGTAGCAGCAGCGGGCATGTGGTGTGTCCACAGCTAAAGGCTTGGAATACAGATCCTCAGGGAAACAGCCAGCCAGGTCCTTGGGTCCTAGCAACAATTCACAGGGGGTGTCACTGTTAGGTGGGGGCCCTCTTTGGGCAGCTGGACACCCTATAGAGTCTCTGTCATAATGATCAGGGTCACAACCAGGATCAGAGTTTTTGAAAACCAGGATACTGGGTTTGGTGTAGACAGCATCTGTTGCATTATCAGTGGGTACCAGGCACCCTCCTGGCTGGGAAGCCGAGATGTCTTCCCCAGTGTGGAACCTGGGGGCTTTCAGGCATCTGGAAGTGCCCAGCAGACAGCCCACATGTGGTGTTGGCATGATCTCTCCAGACAGGATGTCAGGATGGCTCCCTGATGGCCTGGGTCTGTGAGGCTGTAGAGTCTCTGGAGGGGGGCATCTGGGGCTCTCTCCACCACAGGTAGCTGAAGAACTGGACTTCTCTCTGTGTTCAGTGGTATTAGGGGGTAACTCAGCAGCAACTTCAGGCTTCTTGGCCTCTGGGGGGAACCCCAGGGCTGTGTGATTTTCCTCTGGGGTCTTGGTGGTGGTGGTGACCTGTGGAGGATGTTTGGGTGCTTCTGTGGGGTGACCAGCACATTCGGGATCTCTTTCCACAGGGTCTTCAGAATCCAAGCTTTGCATCAGGCTGTGTGCTCCCCCTGGAGTGGGGAGGCCCCTGTTCTCACCAGCTTCCTGCTTCCTGACCTTTCTGGGGCCCTGGTCCAAGTCTTTTTCCTTCCTCTTCCTGCCTCTGCGCCACCGCTGGCGGCTGTAGCGGGAACGGCCTTGGGAGCCTGGATCCCCAGGACCCTGCTGCTGAGCACCGTCCTCCTCCTCAGATTCGGAGACACAGCCCCGTCCCTTGAGCCTGATCTCCTGGGCACTAGGTGGCCTTGCGGTCAGAAGAGGGTTATGCAGGACCTGGCTACGTGGTGTCTGCCGCCGGTAACGCCTGTTTTTCTGCTGCACGATCTTGTGGATGAGTTCCTTGTTCCAGGAGCCTCCCGGAGTCCTCCTCCTCCTGGGGTCCTTCCCAGGGGTCAGTCGCAGGCGCTTGGAGCTCCTGGTCTCTGTGGAGGTGGCCCTGGGGATGCTCTCGTCTGTGTCAGCACGGCCCCTGCGGGTTTGACTTCTGCGGCCCTGGGGTGGGGGCCTCTCAGTACTGTGGCCCCTCCTCCTTGGCCTTAGGCAGATGGCTCTGACAGGGCTCTTAACACCCTTAGTCACATCCAGCTCTTTCTGGAACAACTTGAACTGCTTTCCTCTCCTCTGCTGTCTGACCAGGCTGGCTGCCTCTGTCTCTGTGGAAGCCGGGCCTAGGGAGCGAGTTTTGGGCCTGTTTCGGGCCAGACAAACCCTGTCTTCAGTGCAGGCGGCTCTGGTTGGGAGCAGGGACTGGGTGCCATTCTTGGGAGTCGCTCCCGAGTGGGTGTTGGGTGGCTGCCCAGCGCTGGGCCCCCTGGAACCCACGGGCTCCTCATCAGCAAAGACATCGATGAAGCTGCTGTCTATCTCGGGGTTGTCCGACTGGTACTCCATGCCATTGAGTGCCTCGGTGATGAGCCTGTCCAGCTTGGCATCATCTTCCATGTCCAGGTCCGAGGTAGGGAGTGGGAAGGGGGTGGTGGCCAGGCTGGGCAGGAAGCCTGTCCTCAGGGAGTCATCTTTGCTGTCTCCCCGGTCGTCTCTGGCTAGCAGGAAGGGGGCCTGGCTGTGTTCGAGCAAGCCTGAGTGTGCATCTGTGGGTGCCTTTGGAGTGGCAGAGGGTGTGGGGAGCCCTGGGGGCTGCAGAGGGCCATCCTTGTTCCTGGCCAGCAGCAGGCTGCAGAACGGCCTGTGTTCCAGAAAGGCCGCCAGACTACTGTAGTTTCGGTCACACTGTCTGCAGGTCAGCAGTACATCTAGCTGGTCCAGGCTGGCGCTGCTCAGGGAGAAGTGCTGGGTGGAGTATGGGGGTGGCTCTGCGGGAAAGGGCCGCAGCCCACCCCTGCTCACTGAGGGGCTCTGACAGGGGAATGGGGCTCCCTCCAGGCCCTCAAAGGCATCCTTAGCTCCTAGCCCCTCTGTGGAGAGAGGAAAGGCTTTAGCTGGCTCCCTCTGGTAGTGTGTGGGGAGGGTATGGGGGGGTTCTGGGGAGGGGAAGGGGCTGCTAGTCTCCTGGGAGTGAGTGGAGGGCAGGAAGAAGGATGAGGGCCCAAAGGCGCCGGGTTGCTGGCTATCCTCAGAGCTGGGGTTGGCTGGGCTGCTGGACGGTGGTGAGAGGGATGACGTGGTGCTGCTGGCTGTGTTGGTGGCAGGCGAGGGCAGAGGGGACTCGCTGGGAGAGGCTCCTGTGACCCTGGGCGGGGGCAGGTTTGGGGCCCCTCGAGGTGACGCCTGAGGCTGGGCCCCCCCAAAGAACAAGGACTGGGTCCCAGGGTCTTTCAGCCCACCATAGGCAAGCAGTCTTGGGGAACTGTTTGGCTGACCTGGGCTACTTCTGAGAGCTGACAGTGTCTCCCCAGGCCCACGCATTGTGTTCAAAGTGCCCAGGTCTCCCTGGCTGTCCCCCTGACACTCAGAGAGCCCCCTGGGGAATGGCAGTCGGCTCAGCACCCCCATTCGGTGAGGGTTTGGCCCAGGAGTCATAAGCACTGGGGACCAGGGCAGCGGGGGACTCTGGGGAAGGCAGAGCTGCTGGCCTTTAAAGAAGGCAGTCCTGGTAGCAACTGTAGGGCCCAGGGTAGAGGTGGAGTAAGGAGCTGCTGTGGGGTCCCACAGCTGGGGCAGATGGGTGGGTGGTGGCCCAGGGGTGGGAAGCTCTGTGTCCAGAGGCCCTGGGCTGGTGCCTACCCCACTGGTTCTGTACCCTTGCCTTGGAAAGTGCCTTTGGGTTGGAGGGTTTGGGGGTCCCCTGGGGCTCCCCAGTCCATTGTGGGTAGGAGGGGGCTCTTCAGGAAGGACTTTGGTCAGGCTCTTGTGCACACTGTCGTGGAAGGGGCTGGGGGCCAAATGAGCAGCACCGGAAGGAGAAAGGGCACCTCCAAGATCACTGGAAGCACTGTGGTCCTCTAGCTGGCCCCGGGGGCAGGGCAGGGGTGGGTAGGTAGAGCTTGTACCCAGGGCCTCCTCAGACCATGCTGCCAGGGGCTGGTGAAAGGTGAACACCACTGCCCCAGCTGCCTGTTCATGCTGGACCGTGTCTGAAGGGAAGGGATAGGGGATGGGGACCCCCTGGCGGCTGCTGGGCCTGCTGCTTTCAGGAAAGGGCTTAGGCTCAGCAGAGGGGACCCCAAAATTAGCACCTGGGAAGTTGTTCTCAGCAGCAGGAGGCCAGGGGTTGGCCCCGATGGCTTGGCGGTCAGGGCCCGAGGCAGGCCTGTGGGGGCTGGCACTGCTGTTCTGGGGTCCCCTCAGAGGCAGGGGCCCAGGGATGGTACTTGGTGAGGTACAGTTTGTGGAGGTAAAGCTGGAGGGGGTCTCCTGGAAGCACCTTTGTGAGCCATTCTCTTCTGGAGAGGGCGGGGCCTCAGCTCTCGGGAGCCTGGGCCTGTGGCAGGCTCTGGTCCTTTGGCTCTGGGGAGCCTCAGTCTCTGGGGGCTGGGGGGCCTCACACTGCAGGCCCCTAGGGGGCTCATCCAGGACACGTGTGACCCTTGAAATGCTTAGGCCATGGAGTTGTGGGGGACTGCTCTCCATCCTGCCAGCCAGCCATGAATGAGTCTGTTCGCGGCTTTGCCCTGGTGGTACCTGGGGGCTGCTGCCCTTTCCTGGGTGGCCACTCAGCGCCTGGGTTCTCAGGAGCAGGTCCGTTGGCTCTACCTCCTTGGCCTGCTTCAGTTGGGCCTCAAGGGGCTCTCGGGCCTGGGCCTCGTTGCCCTCCTCCCTCATGCCCTGGGTGGTCCTGCTGGCCTGGGTGTGGTCCTTGAGGGGGTGCTGGGAGGTGTACCCCAGGCCGCTGGCAACTTGACAGGGCTGCATGTCTCTGGGCAAAGATGGGGCCCACTCTCCTGGCATGGCCCCGCTGTCCCAGGTGCTAGGAGAGTGCAGTGGCATTGGTCGGAGGAGCCCAGGATGTGGGCTGGATAGCCATCCTCACCCCCTGGAGGGGCCCAGGGAAGCCTGTTCTCATGGTCCTGAGTGGAGCCTGCAAGCAAAGGGCACAAGTGAATTTGGGGTTTGCGGAGGCTGGGATTCCTGTTGGGGGCAGGGAGCCCATAATGGGCTTTGTGGCCTCCTGTGGAAGCTGTGGCCAGGTCAGAAGCACTAGTCACTTGTATGGTTGTCACAGAAGTCCCCGTCTCATCCCTGCCAGATTGAGCCAGAGATACCAGGGTAGTGGGGGGAAAAGTGAGGGAGGGAGAGAATGGGGGAGGGAGAGGGGAGCTGGAACTCCAGGAGGGGGCCGAGATGCTCACACTTGCCTGGTTGTTCATGTGGGAGCCCAAGCTGTTGGGAGATGCCACACTGACAGGATGAGTGGGGCTTCCTCTGTGGCCCATGCCTTGGCCATCAGCTGGTACCTCCCTGCCTGGAAGTCACACGGATGGGCTTGTTTCCTATGCTGGGACCCACCATCCCTGAGAGGGTACCATTTCTTTCTGCCCTCTGAGACACTCTGGTTCTTGGATGCCTGTGTCTGGCCCATCTCCAGGATCCTAGGACCTGGGGAAAGTCCCGGCTATGAATGAAACTTACGGAGCTTGCGCTGAGGCCTGGGTGCCTGTCTGTGTGAGTCCCCTTTTGTTCCCTGTGTCCCTGCCATCCCCATAGCTAGATGTGTGGATGGGATCTTGGTCACAGTGGCTCTTTCCTGAGAGCAATCCTAGGCCCCCGGAGTCACTTATTTTCCTAGTTTCCCTCCAGTGGCGCTCAGAGCACTGACATGGGTGAAGTCTTCATAGCCTGGACATGGCAGGAAAACCACCTGCCTAGAGAAGCCTGGTTCCCCCCAGCTCCACTCCACTGTCCTCTGGGTGGATGGGACCCAGGGCCACATGGTGGGCAAGATGTTACTTCTACCCTCTGTGACCTATCAGTAGGAAAAGGAAGCTGGAGTCAGCTCTTCGGAGTGTCATTCTGGTTACTGATCCCAGATCTACCACAAGCCCAGAGAAGCCCAGAGACTTGTTCAAGGCCACCAAGAAGGAGAAGCCAGGAGTTCTTTCTACCTGCTTTTCACTCCAGTGCCAGACACTTCTGTAAGGTGATCTCTTAGAGAAGAGGCTTCCCCGGGGTTACCACACCAACTTGGGGCAGGAGTGTCCTAGATCTTCAGGGTAAATGCAGTTCCAGTATCTTCCAGCAGAGGACAGCACACAGGATAGGCTGAGCCCCTCCCAGCCCCCCATGCTGGGGATTGGCCACAACAGCCCAGAAAGAAGCTCTGGGCAGAGTTGGGGGAAGGGTTCCTACTGCTAGGCCCCCGTCTTGCCTACCCACCTGGGCTCCCGCCCTTCTCCGGTCCTCTACCACAGGTAGAGTACTAGGTCTTTGGAAAGGATTTGTGAGCAAAGTTTGTTGAATAAGCAAGGCTGCTAATGGCTGTAAAACCAGCATTACACTTCTGAATGCGGACAGTGGCTCAGATGGTCAGAATGGCATCTGCCACCCCCGATTATGGGCAAGGAACCCAGGCAACTTGCCATAGGCCTCACTGCTAGGGGAGGGAGTGGGCCTCCAGAGGGGTACCTCTCAGCCTTGCACAGACCTCAGCCAAATCACACTGGTTCCAGACAACTGGGCCCAGGTGACAGGTGTGGGGAGAGCAATAGTCAGGGTCCCTCATGAAACTCCCACCTCATGGGTGATACTACCCACCTAAGACAGGAACTCTTGTTGGGGGCTGAGGAGGAGGCCAGGCTCCTAGTGGAGCCCTTGGCTTCCTAGAGGAGGACTGAGTCCTACTGATGGGTGGATGGGGCAGCCTGGTATGTTGCAACCTCGCCCTAGCTGCTGTGCACCCAGGAGCTGTCAGAACTGAGGTTTCTGGCTGTCCAGGCTCAAGGGGCCTCAGATGACACTGCTATCCGCCCTGCTTAGAGCTGTGGTTTCAAACTGCATGCAGCTCCTGACAGCTTGGCTCAGGAGATGGGCCCTTGGGGAGCCAGCTGGCAGCCCCAATTACTGTCTGTGCCGGATACAGAGGTGGGTGTGTTGGGTTGGAGGAAGCCTCAGGGACAGGGCACCTCCGGACAGTGGTGGCTGCCCATCCCCCCTCTGGCTGTACTTGTCACGTACCTAGGGAGCCGGGGCTCCTTGCTGGACTGCTGCACAGCTGCTTGAGGAACGGGACCTTCTTGGCTGCAGAGAGAATGGACAATGTTTTAGAACCGTGTGTGGAGCCCTGGGAAACGGGCAGGAAGGCAGCTCTCCAGTAGGCAGGCTGGCCAACAAGGACCCCACATGCCAAGGAGGTCGGCGGCAGCTCAGCCAGCCTAGGGCCCTGGAGGCAGCTGTTCCTCGGGTGTTTGGGCCACTTGTGTCTCATTCCTTTAGATTGTTACATATGCACAGAGCAGGAATCATGCACTGGAAAGCCTCATGGATGGTGTGGCTCTCTCTCCTCCCCAGAGGACCCTTGCTTGGTCTTGTGGGGAGCCCCAAGGGAGTTTACTTCCCTCCAATGTGTCTGGAGGGGTTCCCTTTCCCTCTGCTACTGAGCAAGCCCCTACCTGGCATTCTGCCCCTTGCTTGCAGTCACTCCTTCTCAGCCTTCGCACTCAGTCTCTCCAGGCTGCTGCATGTAGTGACCCCATCAATTTGCTTGCCTATACCCACTTGGTTGCCTCTGGGTCCAAATCCCTTAGGGATGTAGGGCAGCCCCAGACCTCAGCTTCTGCATATGGTGCAGGTGCACACACAGGTGATCTGCAGGGGAAGCTGGTGGGACTGCTAATTTGGAGAGATGCGTCTGTGTGATTTTAAATGCAGACAAAGGGCCAGGAAGATGACTTGAAAGGTAATAAAGGTGTTTCCCACCAAGCCTGTCGACCTGAGCTCGATCCTTGGAACACAGCTGGAGGAAAGAACTGATTCCTGCAAGTTGTCCTCCGACCTCCACACACGCAAGTTGTCCTCCGACCTCCACACACGCAAGTTGTCCTCCGACCTCCACACACGCACAGGGCACATGCCCCTCCCCCAACACAATAATAAGTGTAAAAATGTAAGTGCGGGCAGGTGCCCTCCGACCCTATTCCTGCTTCAGCTGGCCGTGGTTCTAGCCACTAGCCTGTGGCCTGGACACAGTGACTTGTTAAGGGACAGATCCTGGTGGCTGAAGATGTCAGGCTCTGCAGCACAGGCCATGTCCCTGCTCTCTTTGGTTACACATGTGGGGGATGTGGCCATCTGGAGAAACAACACGGCAAGAACCCAAGGCCTTCTGCCCTGAGCAGTGTGAGAGGAACCACTCAGGCAGTGGCCCTCACCCTAGCTGAGCCTTCTGATGAGGCTGTGGCCACTGAGGACACTTGGGCTGCAACCTTGTAGGACAAGAGCTGTGTCCATACTCCTGACCCCAGAGACTAAATACCATAAGGGTCTTATTCAAGCTGCTGTTGGTGGAGTGGCATCTGCTGGCTGCTCCCAAGAGGGATGTATACCTCCTCACTGCTGGAGACCCTAGCGGCTCTGCTGAGGCCTTTTCCTGAGATGGGCAGCTAAGGTTGGAAGAGGTGGAGGCCTGCAGGGGCCCACTATCCATCATCCATCATCAATCCATCCTGTATCTATCATCCATCCACCCTTCACCTACTAGTCTACATCTGTACTGGATGCTGTGTCAGGCAGGTGTGGTGGGTGGTCAGTTTATGGCCTCCAACTTACTGGAAAGATGGAGAGTCAACAAACAGTTTACAGATGGGGAAATGGAGGCTCAGAGAGGTTCTGTTGCTTGTCTAAGACCACACAGCTGGCACACAGCCAAGCAGGGAGGTAAAGGCAGGCAGCATGTATTCTTGCCTCCCTTGCACTTGACAAGGCCTGGGGTCGCTGGACTCCACACCCTTCCTGTCCTGGCCGCTCCCAGGTTTTCAGACAGCTCTGCCTCCACCTGCCCAGCCCATGGCAGAACTTAGTCATCTGCTCCGTCCTTGGTCTTTGTACTCACTTTCTGCCATCTGCACCCCAGAGCACCAACCCCCAGCTCCTCCCTCAGGGGTGTGAGAACCATGGGCACCTTGCTTTCTGGTTCTGGCCCTGCGATTGCTCTTGGCAAAGCCCCTCAGTGTAGCTACATTGGTGTGGGTTTCAGCAGGCCAGGGCTCATTTGAAGCAAGTGGGGAGATCCAATCCCCAGATACCTAGCTGGCCCCAGGGCATCCCTGGAGGGGTAGGGCATTCCCTTTCTCTCAAAGCCAGTAAGTGGCCCTTCAGCTTGCTGGGCTGCCCAGTGGCCCAGGGAGAGGCTGCGGTGGAGGCGCCCTGACGTTCTTTTCAGCAATTCCTCTTTCGTGTTCCTTCAAACGCTGCCGCTTTCCTTACAAACTGTTACCCGAGCGCTCAGATAAACCACTGCAGGTAAAATTATATCTGAGCTGTGGCCCAGAGGGTGCGCTTAAGAATCCGGCGCAAGTTATCGGCTGCATTTATCTTAATTACTCTGGGGAAAGTAGAGGCTAGTATTGGAAGGGGCTGGGAAGCGGGGTCTGTGCTGCCTTATCAGGGTGCATATTTGAGATCCTTTAGCAGAAGGGAGATAAGAGGGTGTGGGGGGACAACGATGTTGTCCGAGATGACAGGGAGGCAGCAGTGGGGAGGGGGGGTTCCTGCTTGAAGACAGGGCTCTCCTGCAGCCCGGTTGGCTGAGAGCTGGCACAGGGCAGAGCCAGGTGCCGGCCACTCTCGCCCTCTGTGCTGTAGAGGTGTGATGTCGCTGCTGAGGGGAATGATCGCTCACTCAGACTCCACACATCAGCTCTGTAGAAGAGTGCCAGGGCGTCACTCAGTGACCCTGTCTTAGGTTCCTCAGCCAACCCCACAGTTTGCTAGGACCAGTTTTCAGAACAGACGCCAATGCCTCCAAGAACCCCTCCCTGACCAGAGCGGTACTGGAGATCACTCTCTGGCCCTCCAAGGACCATAGCTAGTCCTGGTTTTGCCTCCCAGGCACCACAGAGTACAGGGCCAGCTCTCTGGCCTCCCTGTGGCCAGTGGTTTCTAATGGGAAGGCTGTATGTACTCTGGCACACAGCTCACCCCTTGTCGATATTTAGACCTGGTGCTGCTTCCCACTGACCCCTTGAGTACCCTCTGTTATGCAGGTGGCAGGGGTGGGGTTGGACTTAGTGGCCCTGGGAGCGCTCAGTGAGGCAGCCATGTTGGACCTTGTGTGGACCCAGCTCTGTCTGGAATGGGCATCCTGGGGCCCTAATCCTCTGCAAGGAACCCCGGATGCTTTGGCCACAGCTCTCAGCCCTGCAGGCTTGGGGTCCCCACGAAAGAAGCTGCTGGAAGGCAGAGGGTATTCCAGGTTTTGTGGGAACGACCATTACCTGTTCCCATCATCAACATGAGAGATCTGTTCACTGTGGAGGCAGCTGCAGCGCCTGGGGTGACAGTCCAAGGTATGTCACAGGATCATATTGGCTCTACTGCCGGGCTCGCTCAGCGTATGAGACAAGAGCCCTGGGCTGGGGGCTGGGTGTGTGGTGGGAAGCCTGCATGATGTCACACAGAGTCTCATGGCCTGGTGTGTGACACAGTGAGAGGGTGGGCATGAGGTGGCCTCGCTGTCTTCCCACCTTCCTGAAGGCTTGGGGTTGTATCCAAACCAAGTCACAGATGAAGAGGCCGAGGCTGCCTGTGGCAAATGACAAGGTCATCTGGGGTCCCTAGGAGTCACCCTCTGGGACAGTGTGACCTAGTAGTCACCTGTACCTGCCTCCTTCTGGAGCCTTACACTGGCGGTGGATGGGCAGGGAGGTCCCCCAAGGAATGAGATTAGTTTCCTGTGGTCTGGAGGCTGCCGAGAGCAAATCTGCTGTTGCATTCTGTTCAATTAAAAGTGATTATAGTTTTGTTTCCTGAAGACATTAGGGCCAGTGGAGACTGGTGGAGGCTAGATGGGAGGGCTACACATGTGCTCCCGTCCAGGAAGCTCACTGAGCACTGAACGACTCTGTGTGGACAAGCTCTTCCCTGGCAAGTAGTGCAGGGAGCACACATGTGGCACCTGCTGCATGCAGGACTTGGCAGCCACACTCCTGGAAGCAGGTGTCCAGTGTTCACACTGAGATCAGGAAACTGAGGTTCGGAGGGTGAATGAGGGCTCCACGTCACATGAGCTGGACTCGCTCCAGCTGTGGACACTTTCAGGCTCTGTCCATCCTACCGGCTCTCTCCGGCTTCTGAACAAATTGGCCCCGGTGGTTGCTTGGACTGTGGCTGCAATCCCAAGGACTCCCTGCTACAGAGCTGGGGAGCATGAGGAGGATCCTAGTTTCCCAGGGGATGCATGCACGGGCCCTTCCCCATGGCAGTGCACCAGCTGTGGGGAGATCTTTGGTGCAGACCCAACCCAGGGGCCTTGACCTCAGTGTGCTCAACTCTAACATGGGTGTGGCATCTCTCATGGCACCACGCCCTCTGGATGGGATGCTCTAAGCTGAACCCAGCTGCTGCCCCTCTGTCCTCTGGGGCTAGCCCTGGAGGATTTGGCTGAGGTTTGAAGGGCCAAGAGAGGGCAGTGGGTGGGCCCTCTGTCACTGGTTGTGTGGTTTCAGGCAGTCTCTGAAGCCAGACTCTAGAGTCCTGGTTGGCTCCTCTGTTTAGCTGACCAGTGGCCTACGGAGACATCCGAAGGGGTCCTTCCCCATGGGTGGGTGACCCCATCTGGGAAGGGCTACCTGAGTGGTTGGAGGATGTCTAGATAGGCAGTTCAGCACCTAGATCTGTGGCCACAGGGGTCTGGTGAGGGGTGGTCTAGCACATCCTGACTCTGAGGCACCTGCTCCTCAGGACAGGGAGCTGCCTCATACTGCAATGTCCTCCAGGCGTGGCCTGCTCCTGGGGACACAAGGACCCAGCCTAGTGGGCAAAGAAGACCTTACAGCCACCCATACTGGCCTCCTGCTGCAAAGTCTGCCTGCCGCCCACTTCCAATAACCTCCTTGGCTCTTGATCCTGCCTAATCATGTGGGCCTATCTGACCCTTCAAGGTGCTCAGCCCAGACCCTTCCCTTCTCTGTGTCCTTACTGGAAGCTGCACCTCTCACCCACGGCTCTCCTGGCTGCTCTGCAGTCTTGGGTGGCTGGCACTTGGGTGCAGGTATCCACCACTGTGCACTCTTTCTGCTGCC